ACACACACACACTACACACACACACACACACACACACACACACACACACACACACACACACATATATATATATATATATATGTAATATTTATATATATACATATATATGGCACAAAGCTGACCGCCATACATACGATAGTAGTCTTGCGATGGTGGTCAAATCGGTCTGCAACTGTCTTGTTTTGGCACTCATCCTATGCGCGATGGGGTCTAGTCGCCGCCGCAGTATACTCACAAACGCCGATGTCAAGCCTGCGGACGGAAAGATAAACTAGGTTGTCAGTAGAAGAAAGTATAGTCAACTTTAGAATTCAACACAAGTACATGTACTATACATGTAAGATAGCTCTGAAGGGCATTCAATTTTATGTTCAAGTTTGCACCCGTGTTGGTGGTGCATCATGCAGTTCGATTGAATAACGCCAGTGTCGAGCACCTCATTGACCACTACGTACATAGCCTCGTAGCAACAAACTTGTGCACTCAAACGCTAGATGCAACATGTAAGGAGACCACCAAGCCGTACAACGACGACAAAATCGACAAGAGATGCGAGTGGGTCGCACTAAGCGACAAATACGACATATAATACAACCGAGCCATACTTCAAATGGGACTGAGCCATACCAGTTTCGAGGCTAAGGTCGTCCATTTCGATGCCAGGTACTGTGCGCTTGATCTCTGGAGTGTCGAATGAGCGGGACAAAATATGGCAATTCGGTCAGATAAAGCGACAATTAGATGTAATCATGCGACATACTATTTGATATGAACTGTAAAGCATACTAAATAATAGCATGATGTAGAACATACGATATGATTGCAAGCCGATAAGGTGCGGTACATATTACGTTTGCGAGGCGTTGAGTACGTGTAACACAGATACACACTGTTTATCTGTATATATGAATGGTAAGTGCCCTGCAAACTAGGAAGAATGCCTCTTATTTTGCACTATTCTGCATATGTACGCTCTTAATACTAAATTATTTTGTCGGCTAATAAGTTCAATATTCTCAGTACATCTGTATACTTAGTTGCTACGTGTGATACAAATAGCACACACCCTGCAGGCACATGCTGTGGATGGCTAAGATGGCTGTCTGAATGGTCTGCATGTCTTCGGTGAGTTCGATGTCCAGTTCCACAACATCCACGGGGTGTTTAGTCAGGGAAGCTGCCACTGATGCATGGAATCTATGAACAGGGAGAGATAAATGACGATAAAAACCAAGTTTTTCTCGTGAATGGTAGGTGTTAACCAAGTTTTTCTCGAGGATGATAGGTATATACCGAGTTTGCACCACGAGTGACAGCTTCAATGAAAACATTTTCAACTTAGATATAGCTAGTAAGGGTCGTTGCCACCAATGCATGGAATCCGAGACCAGTGCCAACAAACGAAAAGCCAAGCATGAACTGAGTTTACAGGCACAAACCAAGTTTTTATTGCCAGTGACACCCTACAACCATGCAGTCACCGCAAGTAACACCTTTAATGCGATCAAGCTATACAGTTTGACCAAATATTGTCAGAACGGGTCGCTGCCGCCGCCGACGCGTGGCATCTGAGGCGAGCGACAACAAACAAAAAACCAGGTATAGACCAAGTTTTTGTTGCGAGTGACAGCTAAGGCAACTATTAGTAGGCTGTGCTTGATCACAAACACTGCCACTGACACATGCAAACTAGGAACAGCGACCACAGACATATATCAAATGCAACAACACCTTTTACATCGATTAGCAGCTTCCAACTGATCAGATTTGATTCATATCTCACGTAGCCTTGACATCACAAGGAACAACGAGAATATTAAACAATAAAGCATCCTACCTGGGCCAAATAAACAAGTTGACCACAAACAAATTCTTCATCAATCGTTGCACTTGAGCAAATCCGTGCGCCATGCCAGACGGACTCTCGGTGAAGGCCTTGATAAATCCGGTCTATTTAATAGTGGACAAATAAAAAGGAATATGTGAATGGATACACATACACAAACCCGAATCCCTTAACTCGCAGGCTGTACCCATCTCGTCATTAATTTGGTATATATGTATATGACTTACACCCGCATTCCGACAATTTGGTATTATCTAGGTAGCCTTAGAAACCGCATACACATAATTTGGTGTATATGTAAGTATCTAGCGATATACCCGCATACCCTTCATCAATAACTCAATATTTATGTAAGTAACAATACACCCACATACTCAAAATTTGAAAAAAAAAGTATGTAACCCTATACCAAATCACCCATCGTCCATAGTTTGGTATATATATTTATGTAATATATACCCGCATATCCTATATCAATAACCTTGTATGCGGGTGTATGCAACCTTACACCCACATACTCATAATGTGGTATATATATATGCAACCATATGTCCGCATACCCATACCCCCTTCACACCCCCTAGTAGTATAGTACAACCTACCTTGTTCTTTTCTCGGAACAGACGCAGGATGAATGCCTCACTACTCTTCTCCGAGACGCGTTGAGCATTGCACACCAGAAACCCCGAAAGCGACTCAATAGGCACCACTGCACTCAGCATGTCTACCACAAGAATGCGCGACGTCACGAAGAGTACTCCTAAATTTTAACGGTAAGATCAAAGTTCGCAAGCTAGCGTTTAAAGCGAGAGCTGAATGCAATGGTGTGGTTCTTTTCTACTGGGAACACTCCTGTGTTTAAATGGTGAGATAAAGATCGCCGTTTTACGTCAAAGTTGATTTGTAACAGTGAGGTATGGTGTTGCAGTCAACACGGCACAACTGGAGACGTTTAGTATATGTTGATAAATCAATATGGAACAAAAACATACATCTATCGATATGTTCTCCTCAACTGTCGACTATACGCACTTGGTGGTTTGGAACTTACCCCCTGAAAGGTATATCTCACTCCGTCGTTTCGCATCGCATTCGTTGGTGATGATCTGTGGCATTTTGTGCGTACGCCCAGGACTGAATGAGACTTAAATGCCATAGATCGCACAATATACGAGAATATGCGGCAGAACAGACGGAAAATGGTGGCCGGAGACATGTCTAACTAAACTTATCTTTATTCATAGTATTTTGCATACACTAAACTAATCCACTAGTACAAGAATATCGCCTGTGAATTGGTTTCCACTTAGATTCTTAGTATACTGCTGACACCCCCCCCCCCCGCCCTAGTTGAATAGCTTAGTCCATGCCAGTACTTACAGGGTTCTAGGCTGTGAGTATGAAGGCACACATTCAGTAATGGCGAGGTGATAACATCAAGTACAATGGCAAATGGGAAGATACCTACCAGTGAGAACCGCTATAACAGGTGTACGTGCACGGGAATGTAGCAGACCGCGGTTAACAGGGACGGGTATATGCCACGATAGAGACACTCGCGCGTGTATACATGCATGCATGGTGATGTAACATCATAAGGATTGTAGGTCGATACAGAACACTCGATAGAGCCAAGGACAAGATGTACAGACAGCAGCAGCGTATAGCGATGAGCTGTAGATACGAATCACATACGCATGGACTACAGCCTGATGCAAAGCTTTACTTCTCGTGTACTGGCGCCTATATACTATCCAATAAATTTGATGGTTTGATGCAGATACCCTAGTTGACAACGGTGTGTTAACACCAATCGCCATGGTATGTCTAAAATTGGACGTACGAATGTCAAGGAAATACGATAGAACTGCTCATACCTGGAGCCACATCTGCACGTGCAAGTGATATAATACGCACCATATCTACATAGACACACATGTGAGTGCGCATATTCCTGTACACTCAATCTGGACAGGGAATAGGCGTAGAATGGTAGCAGATTGCCCCCGAAATGCCGATAACTTTGAACGTAAAAAAGGCAAATATTAGCCACGTCTACACCTGGAAGTATATCACCAGTTGAAAATATATCACGCGAACCGCACCTGTACATATACATTTCCATCTGCTGGATTCTTAGCACACCTTTGGTAGTCACGGAGTGTTCCCATCAATCGCAATGGAGTCGGTAACCATGGAAACCTATAAAATCAGCACCACTCGTATCTCGAGGCTACTCACCAGACGCTAACTACAACACTGGCACTGTACTCATCGTACTGTTACACACCTTGGGTAGTAGCGGGGTATCGCCATCAATTGCAATAGAGTCGATGAACATGGCACGTTCTTCATGACTAGTATTGAGTACAATGACTAGGGAGGTTGGCTGGCTGTAGAGCTTCACAAACTGCCTCACTAAACGATGGATGCCCAGGTGCTGTTTAAATCAAACAGTATTCAAGGTCAGCATATGGTGGCAATTGTTACGGACATTAACGGATTGCCCCGCTATGTGATGTTTATTAAGGTGATTTCAACAAAAATAAGGAATTCAGAACAATGCAATGCTGGTCGATTTAAGAATGCATGATCCAAGAAAGGTACTCAACACAAAGTCACGAGGTCGGCTGGATATAGACCTTGACGAATTTCATTCCTATAGAAGGTATATCAAAGAGTTGATACACACACAGACACACAGACACACAGACACAGACACAGACACAGACACAGACACAGACACAGACACACTTATATATATAAATATATATAAAAATTTATTTATGTATAAAATATATAAGTATATATATATATATATATATATGTGCATCAATATATATATATACATACATATATATATATATGTATATACATACACACACACATACATGCATACATACATACATACATACATAAATACATTTATATATATAAATACAATATATATATAAATACATATATATATATATATACATACATACACATAAATATAATTAAACATATACATACATACAAACACAAACACACACACATGCCACACAAACAGACACTAGACACAGACACAAGACACAGACACACAATATATACACACACACACACACACATATATATATATATATGTA